GAGAAACTTTGCCGGGAAGCACCACTGGACCACTGGGACACGGGGCAGGGTTCTGCACCCCAAGGAGCTGGAGCATCCCGGCTGCCAGGGTCAACCCGCCCCTGTGGGTCCTCCGAGCCAAAGGCGCTGCCAAAAGCCCGGTCCCCTCCATGCTGGCAGGTTGGTGCTTGCCCGAGACCACTCCTGCGCCTTCGGCTTCCTCACGGCAAAACTCGGCCACGAGTCCGCAACTGCAGGAGTTTCTGCAGGGCGAAGCACGGAAAGGGAAGAGAAGTGTTTTGTTCTGCAGGATGCGCCTGGGACCTGGGTGCAAGGGTGCCCCAAAAGCTCATGCTCTTGCTGGGCTCCATCCCTGTCCCCATCCCCAGCCAGCATGACAGGGCAGGAGAGTGTGGGTGCTGGGATTCTGAGAGGATTTATGGCCAGGAAGCCCTGGGGAGTCAAAGCTCTGCTGGGCCAGCCTGGGGGATGCCTTGCAGACCACAGCCTCCCAAACACACCGCCATCAGAGCAAGAGGAGGTGAAACTGCACACAGAATTAATTTGAATACAGGGGCGAAGCTCCTCACCTATGGCTGAGCCCGAGCCCCCTTTGGGGTGGGGGGAGCTGCAGGACCCCCACCCTGGGCAGCCCAGCGTCCTTCCCAGCTGCTCAGGTGGGGGATGCAGGGGAGACGGCGCCAAGCATCTCCCCACTCTGGGCATCCGTCCCCGTATTTCTCCCCCTTTTTTACCAGGTTTGCAAACAACACCCTCAGCAAACACCCCCCCCGCCACAGGAAAGGTGACTTTAGCACAATTACTCACGCTGCGCTGCTCTGCCTCGCGAATGGCTTTTGACCCAGCACCTCCTGCCGCCGCTATCACCTCTCTGGTCGTGCCCCGTGCGGGGTCCCGCGCACCCCCCACCCGCAGCACCGGCGCTGCAGGGATCCGCAGAGCAGCAGCCCTGCCCCTTCCCTCTGCCCAGGGAAGCCTCTGCTGCAGAGCAGCGTTCGCTCCCCTGGCCCGCCGTCGCGGCACGGGCTCCCTCCGACCGCGGCCTGTGGGCTCGGGCGTGTTTACAAGCCGGTCATAAAAGACAACGAACAAGGCAGGCGTTAGGGATTTAGCTGCGACACGTGAGGTTGCCCGTGATCGCGCTGTGTGCGCCGAAGCGCAGGCACCCGGCGCCGCTCGGCTCCCCAAGTCGATGACACAGCCCAAAACCACATGCGACACGTCAGAGGGGCTTATTGCTGCTTTGCTGTCACGTACGCCAGCGCAAAAGTAAGGGGGTCCGTCAGGACACTGAGCACCCCCGGGTCCCCGATGTGCAGCACCGCCAGCACGCACCCTTCCCCAGGGAGCCGGCTGGCAGGCTCCCCAACTTGCCGCAGCTGCCAGCCCGGCACGGCCGAGCCACCGACAACCCCAGCGCTGCACCTACCTGGCACCGGTGCTCCAACAGAGATGCGCGGTCAGGAGGCAAAAAAAAAAAAAAAGAGAAACAACCCCAGCTGCCAGCAGAGCTGGAGGCTCTGCAGGTTTCGGGAAGCAGTGCCAGTGCAGTGCAGCCGTGACAGCCGGAGGCGAAGGCAGCAGGTGCCAGTTCCTACCCCATTCCCTCTCCGTCCCTGGGAAAAGGCATCCGGCAGCAGAGGGGAAGCCAAGCCCCCCGTACCCCGGGATGCGGCAGCACCCAGGGATGCTGCAGAGCCGGCCCTGCCGCTCTCACATCCTGACTCGGCAAGTTTGGCTCCGCTGGTGGCGTGGCGTGCAGCCTGGCTCCCCAATCCCACCGGTGCCTTAACCGTGTCGGCGCCGCAGCCCGGCACCGGCAACGCGCGTGGGCTAGTGAGTGGCTGCCACCCGGCGCCGGCCACCCCTGCGCAGCTCAGGTGAGAGGATGCTTGTCCAGAGGCCACGGGGAGCATGGAACCAGACGTTTCCATCATTGGACACCTTCAAATCACACGGTGCTGGGTGTTTTTCTTAAAGAATGAAATAAGGGCAGCCACAGGCAATGCTGCAGGGCTGCCTCCCAACACCAGGGCTCGCCCAGCCACCATGTCCCACCGGCTGGCCACGCGTCCTGCTCCCCGGTCACGCCTTCTCAGCGGCTTTTGCTTTTTGGCCCTCTTGGGCAAAAAAAGCACCCCAGAATATGCGGTTCAGAGGCACCCCAGTAACTGGAGCACACTGGTCCCCGGCAGCAGCACGGCACCGATGCAGCCGGTGGCTGGCTTTAACATAAAAACCAGCAGCCAAGCCAGCAAAAAGGGGTCAGGGTTTTGGAAGCACACAGCTGTGCTTTTTCATTTATAAATTAGGAAAACCTGGTCCCTCTCCACCCACCAAGTCCCAGTCAGTTTCACCACCACATCCTCTGCCCTCCGGGCGCAGTCTTGCCAGCAATGGGGCCAGCAAGAACAGTGCCCACTCTGAACCGTGCCGGCACCGGTGGGGACCCACTCGGCACTGCCTGGGCCGGTGATCCCAGCAGGTTGCCCGCTTCCCATGCCATGGCAGCTCCGCTGGCAGCGTGCGACAGGCGGGGAAGGCCATAAAGCCCATCCCGTTCAGGGAGCGCTCCCCAGCACCAGCACAGAAGCGGCTTCGCTTCCTCAGCAGACAGTGGAAACCACGCACCAAGTCGCTCTGCTTTCGCTCCGCTACACACCCGACCCACAGACCCGCGTGTCGACAGCGGGGAGGCGACGGCTGGCCCCGCTGCCCTCCTCATAAAAATAAGAGTAATAAATAATAAAGGGGGCTCTTGCATATCTTCCATTAGCAGCTGCAAGCAGAGGCATTTCTTGTTAACAGCCTGAAAATCACTGCCTATATGCAATACATATATATATATGCAGTATATACTGGATATATTGCCCAGCCTGCCTGCTCTGGCGCTCCCCCACGACACTGCACCGTGGCTCCAGCGACGCTTTAGGAAGAAACCTGTGCTTTTTGGGCAGCTGGCAGGCGGCCCTAGACGCGCAAAGCCGGCAGCAACCCGGCCTCGCCTCCCGCCAGTGCGGAGCGTGGCTCCGCTCTTCTACCGGGAACCTCTCGCCGGGACGAGAGCGCCCATGGCGCCCACGCAAGCAGTCCCGGGATGCCTGTGTTCACCACAACGGCACGGCAGCCCGGCCGCCGGCTGAGCGGGCACGAGACCGACGAGGGTCCCCCCCAGCGAGGACACAGCCTGAAAGAGCGGAGGCCGAAGCGGGGCTCGGGAGCAAAGAAACCCTCGAGTTGCGGGCACGGCTGCAGGAGAGCCCGCGGGGAGCTCCGGGAGGACGGGGAATCCTTCGCACCTCTCCCGTCGGCGTTCCGCCACCTGCCTCTCCCGGCGCAGCGTCGACGGGCTGGAGCATCGACCTCCGCCGCCACGTTCCCTCGCTTCGCTGGGGAAAAGCCGGGGCGGAGGGCACCCGCCGGGAGCCCAAAGCCGCGGCTCTTCGGGAAGCAGCCGGGCCCGGACCCCCCCTCCCGGGAGAGGCCGGCGGCCGCCGGGGCCGCGCCCCGAGCTTCTCCCTCCGTTCCCACCGAGAGCGCGCCTGCGCCGGCCGCTCCCCCCCGCCCCCGGTAACGCCGGGAGGATGCCCGGGGCGCAGACCGTCCCTCCGCCGCGGGAAGGGGCGCCGGCCGCCCGCCGCAGCCCCCCCCCCGTCGCTCCCGGGCTACGAGCCAGACGCCGCCGGAGCGCCAGCCCGCCGCCGGGGACGGGCGGCGTGGCCG